ATCTTTCTTCTATCATTGACAGTCCCTCTAGGTTGTGGGCTGCTTGCCTGTGTTCCTGAGAAGCATCTACGGTACCAGTCTATAGAGTGTGTTTTCTTTAGTGAATTACCGGTATGTTTACCGGTAATAAACTTGCACTGTTTTATGTATATGTTTGATTACATACAGCCTTGTGACAGTTTTCCTGCCACAAGGAAATGTCATAAGCATTTGAATATAAATTAAAATGTTAAAATCAAATCTGATATTGTTTTACCTTTTATTTGGTGTGTGGAAGGTGTGCGGAAGAGGGGGTAGTCTTATACGGCGAGTATATAACAAACTCTGTATTTTGAGTGGAAATATTAGGGGGTCGTCTTATACGCCCAGTCGTCTTATACGCCGGCAAATACGGTATGTGTTTTCTGATGGTCTTAGGCGACCCACAGGTTGAGAACTGCTGCTTTAAACGCTTAAAATTAAAGAACACATTGCCACTGGCATAAGAAACTTCAAATCTAGTTTCAAGATTTCAGGTCATTTTCAAAAGTAAGTTACCTCCTCCCAACTAAAATAATTAGTAATTTGTTTTGTTTTTTTAAAGTAAAAGACAAGTGATCACAACAGCATCAGCCTCAGGATGTTGAATGGTGCGTTCTTTCTTTCAAACACAAAGTGACATTTAGGCATCTTTGAAAAACTAGAATAGGAGTTATCTGTAGAAGTTATAATAATTTCTACTAAGACACCTATACTTTCTCTGAAAATGTCACAATCTAAATCATAAGAACATAAAGTATAAGTGTTTCTCCTATTATTAAAACAACTGTCCAATAAAGCAAACCTTTGATCTTGGCTTCATTATCACTAGTTTTAATGTAACTTACTGAGATAACCAGCCCAGACAGGCGTTCTAAAGCCAATTACAAGACTACATTTTTTTAAAGTATATTTCATTGATTTTTTTACAGAGAGGAAGGGAGAGGGACAGAGAGCCAGAAACATCGATGAGAGAGAAACATCGATCAGCTGCCTCCTGCACACCTCCTACTGGGGATGTGTCTGCAACCAAGGTACATGCCCTTGACTGGAATCGAACCTGGGACCTTCCAGTCTGCAGACCAACGCTCTACCCACTGAGCAAAACCAGCCAGGACAAGACTGCATTTTTAAAAAGTATTTTTTGCTGACATTAATGCAGATAATGTTTGGTCGTAACAGTGCATTACAATTTCTGGTTTCTCCAAAATCTTTGTTTTGAAATCTTGGGCTCCTCATATGTTTGAGTTAAAAAAGAAAAAGACAATGCTTTTCTGCAAGTTTTGTTCCATTCAACATGATAGAAATCATCCCTCAACATGAAATTCAAAATCAAAAGCTAAAAAATTATCAGCATCCAGAAGTAAGAGTAAAAACTCTAGTAGATGATATAGGTAAGTGACAGAATAAGAGGCAAAAATTCGGGGGGGGGGGGGGGAAAAGCGGGGGGGGGGGGGGGAGTGTTAGATCTCTGCCTCAAAACTAACACCTCATGAGTTCCAAATAGATGACTAAAATCCCTTATACTAAACCCTAATATGCAAATCGACCAACTAGTAGCCAGTTGCTATGACGTGCACTGATCACCAGGGGGCATCTGCCCCCACCCTCCAGAGGCAAAACCCCCGCATCACCCTGCCTGATGGTTGCCCCACAGACGGCCCTGATCGCTGGCCTATATATTGGGAACAGTCTCTTAGATTTAAAAATGAAAACCTGGCAAGGCTACTCTAACATTGAAAGAGCAGGATGATGCAGTGATGACTTGCATGGACTCTGACTTGCACATTTCGTGGTCAACCCTGATTTTGACACTTAGAACTGCGTGACAAAGCCAATTAACTTCTCTCTGCTTCAGTTTTTCCACCCATAAGATGGGGAAAATGGTACTACTGCCTCAGAAGGATCATGTTATGTACTACGTTTTATAATCGGGGCAAAAAAATGTAGCTGCCCATACAACAGCAAGATGCCTTTCACCTATATGAAAAGTATGGTCACTGGTGCATGCAGCGTCCTGGATTGCAAGAGGGATGTCCAACTGCCGGGTTAGGCCCGACATCCCCCAAGGGGTCCCGGATTGCGAGAGACTGCAGGCGGGGCTGAGGGATGGCCACCCCTCTCCCACCCCACCCCCGTGTATCGGGCCTCTAGAGCAGTGGTTCTCAACCTTCCGGCC